TACTTTCCAGCTCACCTGCTGAGTTTCTTATTTTAGCTATATTCTTAAATTCCAAGAACTCCTTCTAGTTTCTGAGCATCATTTCATTTATTTATTTTATTTTTTGCACTTCATTAGTGTTTTTGTATATAAAATAGGCAAATGGGCCTCATTTGGGGGGAATGTTAAGTACATATTTTTAGTTTAATTTTGACATTGCATTTTTGTTCCCTGATTGTCTCTATTGCTTCAAAGTTTCTTTTCAGCATCTATTTTCCACATTAGAAGCTTTTCTTTTTTTTCAAATGCTTGGAGATGCTGTGTTGTGAAATATGTCTAAGAATGAGAGATAAGAAGCTGATGGGAAGTTTGTGTATGTGGGCAGAGCTTGTCAATCGATATTCTTTACTGCCTGGAAGTGGCTTGGGTTCCAGACATTTCATGTGATGTATTAGTTTGAATGGAATTTGGTTGAATACAATAGAAAAACCCAAAATAACAGATGATTAAAACAATTACAATTTATTTCTCTCTCACATAGGAGAAGTTCAGAGGTGGTTGTCCAGGGCTTGTACGACAACCGCACATCCTCAGGGATGTAGTCAACATCTGTCTTGCTACAACCATCACTCTCAGTGCAGTGCTGTGGTCCATGTGGCTTCTCAAGCTCTGGTGAGTGTATCTTCCTTACAGGCAGCAGGAAGGGGAAGGCAGAGAAAATAAATTCCCAGGTTCCTTTCAGAGCCCATACAATATTCTGCTTTCACATTTTGGCAAGAAATTAAACACACGGATACATCTAGCGGGGCTATAAACTATATTATTTAAACTGGATGCATTGCTACCGCAGGTGAAATTGGGGTCTTACTGAAGCAAAGAAAGGGGAGAATTGTATTAATGCAAGCAACTAGCAGCCTCTGCCACATTGAGATTTCTACAGCATATCTGTAAATCCTTTTTTCTTTGGTTCGTAAGTTTCACCAGGGTAGACTCCTTCAAATTCCCATTGTTTTAATCTCCCAACAACAAAGATGTAGATGATGTCTCTGCTGCCCTATGTCACATCCCCTAGGCACATCTCTGATTTTAGTTGTGGTGACAGAGTACAGCTTTGGGTAGCTCATCTTGCTCTGACAAAGTCCAACCTTAAGCTCATACTGAATATTCTTCTGCTTCTTGCTCGGGCATTGAGATGGCATAGACCTGAAAGGTCAGTGCTTAAGAGCCATGCAGTGGGGAAAGGAACTGAAAGATGAACATTCCAGCCTTCTCTCCACTGGAGATCCGAACATTTGATTGGTGTGCTACAGGCGTCTCAGGCAGTGCAGATGAAATTGAGCCCCAGTTGCTGTAACAAAAACCTGATAACACACACTTGTATTGGCATTTGTTCCTTCTCTGTTTTAGTAACTTTGCTACCTCACTGTGCATCTTTGGACCACATAAAATAACTGCACTGAAGTGTTGGGCTTTGCTTTGGAAAAAAAACTCTAAAGTAAACATTAATCTTAGTGTATAAATTCTAAGCTTAGGTTCTTACCTCACTTGTACCTGCATAAAACTTCAATGTAATAGCCAGAAAATACTATATGTTGTCAAGAAAAAAACCTAAAAAAGAATATTTAAAAAATTTCTTATATATCTTGTATTTGCATTCACTTCCTGTGACTATAAAATATGATTAAAAATCATATTTTTATGTATTTTATGCATATTTTATGCAAAAAAGAATATTTAAAAATTCCTTATATATCTTATATTTGCATTCACTTCCTGTGACTATAAAATATGATTAAAAATATGAAATAATATGCACTCATTCTTATCTAAAAATGTATATAAGAAGGCTTGGAACTTTTGGTCAAGATGGCAGCATAGGCCAATATGGCTTGCCTCCTCACACAACCACATCAAAATTATAACTAAGCTGTAGAACAACCATCATTCAGAATGGAGCTTAATGGAAGTCCTACGACTATGGAATTAAAGAAGAATCTAACTACAGAATTAAAAAAGAAACCACATCAAGACTAATAGGAGAGGCAGAGACATAGAACCAGCTGGTTCCACATTCTTATATGGCAACTAAAAATTGGGGGTGGACACCACAGAAGTGAGAAGTCCCAGCCTCATGCCAGACCCCATAGCCCAGGGATGCAATGCCAGGAAAAGAAGTTCTCATAATTTCTGGGTATAGAAACCAGTGAGAATTCAGGCTGTGGAAGACAGAAACTACTGGAGTCTCAGGAAGCTCCTTTTAAAGGACCTATGCACATATTTACTCAGACTCACTCCCTCTGTGCTCTAGCATGGGGTAGCAGATCAAAAAGCATCAGAGATATATAGGGAAGAACTATAGGTGTGGCATCAGGGAAAGAGCTAGAGGGGGCAGCTTTCTCCCAGACTGAGGTGCTGGCAGAGGCCATTGTTTGTTTTCTGAGCCCTTCCTCCACAGGGCCACAGAGGTGGCATGTAGGTGGCATATCTGAGACCTCATCAACCTGGTTCACACTGTTAGCCCTATACTGGTGATTCCACCCCAATGTCCAGCCCAACCCAACTTTTGGACCCACTCAAGCTCTTTCTGGGGGCTTTTCCATATAAATGGCTGATCTTGACCCATGTTTCAGATCTTCCTAAATTCTCTCAAAGAAGCAGCATCTGGCTTCAGTGAGTCCCATACCACTTGATAAGTTGCCCCAGGCCCAGCACTTGCCTGGGCACCGCCAAGCCCAGCACAAGTAGCAGCCATCTTTATATTGTTTTGTAGCTTATGCTCCGTGCCCCCAGACAGAACACAACTGGTGACTGACTTTGACTGTGCCAACAGCAATCATCGTTCAACTGCAACAAGAAGGTGTACACAGCACACACAGTGGGTGCACCTTGAGTACCCAGCTTGGGTGAGAGAGAAGGCTGTGCCACTGGGCCCTGTAGGACAGTTACTGCATTAGGCCACTCTACCAGGCCTGGGAGGTATAACCATTCTACCTAAAACATAGAAATAAACACAAGGAGGCTGCCAAAATGAGGAAACAAAAAACATGGTTCAGATGAAAGAATGGAAAAAAAAACTTCAGGAAAAAAAAACTAAACAAAATGGAGACAAGCAATCTACTAGATGCAGAGTTCAAAACATTGGTTATAAGGATGCTCAAGGAACTTAGTGAGAACCTCAATAGCATAAAAAATACAGTCAGAAATGAATGATACACTATTTGAAATAAAGAACAATCTACAGGGAATCAACAATAGAGTGGATGAAGCCAAGAATTAAATCAGTGGTGTGGAATATAAGGAAGTAAAAAGCAACCAATTAGAACAGCAAGAAAAAAAGAATTAAAAAGATGAGAATAGTGTAAGGTGCTTCTGGGGCAATTTCAAGCAAAACAACATTCACATTATGGGGGTGCTGGGAGGAGGAGAGAGAGAGATAAAAAAAGTTGGAAACTTGTTTGAAAAAATAATGAAAGAAAACTTCTCTAACTTGGTGAAGAAATAGGCATACAAGTCCAGGAAGTACACAGAGTCCTAAACAAGATGAACCCAAAGAGGCCCACACTAAGACACATTACAATTTAAATGCCAAAGCTTAAATACAAAGAGAGAATCTTAAAAGAAGCAACAGAAACACTTAATTACCTACCAGGGAGTTCCCATAAGATGGTTAGCTGATTTCTCAAAAGAAACTTTGCAGGTTAGAATGGATTTGCAAGAAATATTCAAAGTGATGAAAAGGAAGGACCTGTCATCAAGATCACCCTACCCAACAAAGCTATCATTTAGAATTGAAGGACAGGTAAAGATCTTCCCAAACAAGAAAAACCTAAAGGAGTTTACCACCACCAAACCAGTATTCGATGAAATGTTAAAGAGTCTTCTTTAAGAAGATAAAAAATATGAACAATAAAATGGCAATAAATACATATCTATCGACAATTGACTCTAAGAGACAAAATAAAGAAGCAGAACAGAAACAGAACCATAGATGCAGAGAACATTTTGATTGTTGCCAGATGGGAAAGGGGTTGGGGGAATGGGTAAAAAACATGAAGGGATTAAGAACAAACTGGTAGTTACAGAATAGTCTTGGGGATGTAAAATACAGCATAGGGAATAGAGTAGCCCAAGAACATACACGCATTACCCATATACATGGACAATGATATGGGGATTGCCATAATAAAGGACCACAACTCATTAGCTTAAAACAACATAAATTTATTCTATCATAGTTCTGGAGGCTAGGGATCCAAAATCAAGATGAAGGGCAGGTCAAGTTCTCTCTGAAGGCTCTAGGGAAGATACTTCCTTCTTTCTAGTTTCTTCTGGTTTCCGGCAGGCTTGGTATACAGAAGCGTTACTCTAATCTCACCTCTGTTTTCACATGGCCTTCTCCACTGTGTGTTTATGTCTCTTCTCTTCTTATAAAGATACATAATCCAGTATAAACTCATATGAACTTATTATATCTGCAAAACTTTAGTTCCAAATATGGTATATTCATAGATACCTGATGTTTAGACTTAAATGTGTCTTTTTGAAGGTGAACAAAATTCAACTCACATGTGTCAACAATATTTCTTCCTAGGAGCAGAAAACAGCACTACATTTTTTACAGAAGCAAGGGGTAACTGTCTAAGCTGTACATAATCTTTTTAACCAAAATTCATTGTTAAATTGCATGTAGCAGTATACTTATGTTTAAAAAGACTTAGGAACATATAAGCATTTAAAAATCAGTTAAGCAAGCAATGAAGTAGTAAATATTGGGGTGACAGAGGGACTTAATCTCCTTCTTATGAGATGGAATATAAAAGAACTAAATCAGACTCTGCAAAACAGTGGAATACACCAAATATATTTTTCACCTGGGACAGGTTCAATGAATACAGTCATAGCAAACAACATTATTTACTGTTGATAAAAATATAAGTAGGATATATGTCATGGATATACAAATTAGACTTTCCTTTCATATTCAGAAAATGGATACAAACACATTTGACTGTGCTTCAACTTTATCTGCAATTAAGCCATCGAATACTTCTGTCAACCCTGGTGACTCTATGACCATTAAGATCAAATGCATAATATCTGGGTCCACTGAAGAAAAGGAAGAAGTCTACAAAAAAAGACAATGTTCTGAATTAGCGTATAGTAGTAAGAGCTCTGATGTTTACAATTAAAACGACTCCACTTATCCCACAATAACATGCAAATACAAAAGTGCTATTAAAAATTTTAAACAAATTAATTAGGTTTTCTTCTACTTACTATTTTGCTGGAAAACTGCATCAACTCTATTTTCTATTCCTTGAAAGGTACTTGCTATGCTTTTGGGATAACCTGGTTCCATGGATTGTCTTTGGTTATCATATCTGATGAAAAGAGAAATGCCCTGTGCTTTAAGACCAATACGGCATATAATTATAATGGTTTTATTTTAATTGCATATACTTTACAAAGTGTTTTCACACATACTTTCTCATTCAGTCTTCACAATATCCCATTTACTGGAACTAAGAATGATTAGCTTTCTTTTTTTATTTATATCTATTTATAAAACACATGGGTATTATTATTACTAATATAAGCTTTTGATTACTGGTACAGTGTTATTTTGAAAAAAGAAGAGCTGTATTTTCTAAGGTTTTTAGTTAACTGATATACAGTGTTTTTTCCCTCCCCCCACCCCCCCTCTCTCTGAATAAATGTAAATATTAAGCCTAATTTGGGCACCAAATTTTGTAGGCTTTCTATGTAACATTTGCTTGAGAATGTTAGACTAACTCATAAATGAGAATTAGCCTAACTCTTTATTTGCATCATACCCTAGTACTTTATTAAGGTTTTCTCTGTTTCATGATATAAAGTCATCAATACCATTGTGTAGGCACTTCAATTTATAAAAATAAAAATTTCAAAAGCCATATCATTCATCTTATGAAAAAGAATGACTATCAAAGACCACCTAGATTTTTTAAACTTTCAGGTGCCTGATTGTTAGTGGTTTGTAGACAGGGTAGATAAACATAGCTTTCAATCTCTGGCTGAAACAATAGTTCGCCTTACCTCCAGAACTGGTCGTTTACAAAGAAGTATGTTTTTGTCCTGTAGGAAACAGCTGCATCGATCGCTCGAACATTGCTTGGGAAGCCGTAGTTTGATATATCCTTGGGGTAACCTTGCTGGATGTCATAGCCACTCAGAGCCCAGTATTGGTTGCCTACAAATGATTCCAGTTATATGTTTGATAAAGTTCTTACTTTCTCATAAATAATGTGTGCCACTTGTTATTCATTGCATAAATTTATCATAGAAATGAAAATGGGGCAAATAGCCTTTAAAAGATAAAGGTTATGATAAAGTGAAGTTCACTGGGCTATGATAGCCCCAGTGGTTTCCCAGCTCCTATTAAAAATAATCCAACTTCTCAGTCTGACATTTATGGCTGACAACTGGATGTCCTATCTTATGGGACTTCTATGAACAGATTACACTACAGCCTCGGGGAATCTTAGAAAAATTAAATCTGGGATGACAGTGGAGAAACACTGACAGTGTTAGCATTTTGTAGATGAGAAAACTGAGGCCGGAAGAGGATATGACCTTGCCTCAAGTTTACACAGCAGTTAGCGGCAGAGATGGGGTCCAACCCAGATCTCTAGACAAAAGCCCGGCCAGCATGACGCTCTGTCACTGGCTCACCTCCTCTGAACCTGGAAGGCACCACAGAAAGTCCTTTTCCCCTCTCTTCAGGCAGAGCTAAAATTAAATGAAATCTTAGGCCGTTACCTTTAAATAGGAAAACTAGGTCCCTGTCAGAATCCTCATAAGCAGCCTGTATACCACTGGGCAGGGATGGCCAGAACAGAGAAATAAAATTGAGGTCGACTCTTTGTAGCTGAGGATGCCTTCTCCAGAAGTATCTGATGGAACACAAGGGAGAAAACCACAGACCTATAGTCTAAGTAGACAGCCTCTGTGAGTCTTGGGCTTGAATTAGCCTTTATGAAATTGCTGGGAGGATATGAAAGTATAATAAAAACAAAGTTTCTAGCACAGTAATCAACATTTAGCCAGGATTTTATTGTGGTATTGTCCACCTGGTGAGTGCTTTACAGTTTTCAGAGAGGTCATAGGAGTGACCTTGTTTGATTACCCTTTGCTCTGTCCCCTCCTCACACATTGGCAAATCTTATTTTAGTGTCTTTCATTATTGTTCCTACAAAATGATGAGAATGCTTAAAATTTTCCAGCAAAAGTAATACTCAGCCTGTGATCACACAACCACAAAATATTCAATGGAAAACAAAGAATTCAATCACTTAAATTAGTTGCTCTGTAGCTGAAGTGATAGTTTCCATTTACTTGATTGAATTTGGGTGAACTGAATAATGCTTTGGTGTTAGGTAAACTTAGCTATGCAGTTCCAAAGCAGCTGCAGCGCATAGACTCATATTTATATCATCACAAACATCTGCATGTTCATAAATGTTTTAGATTTCTTTTCCTGGTTGGTTTGAGTTACCCAGAAAACACCAGAAATTCCAATGAGATGCATATGTGTAGAATTCAAAGGAAAAGCTGAGTAATGGGTCATATGTGACTTAACTAAAGCCCAGTGGTAAGTTGTGCCAGTAAAACAAGGCAAAGGAAAGAATAGTTCAATCATATACTTGTCTTTGAAGAAAAGTATTTCCCCTCGCAACGTAGTGATAGCATCAAACGTCAGACGGGGGTCACAGCCTGTGGGCGTGCTCGATCCTGTTGGTTGGACAGGGCTGTTTGAAGGTCCTGAAAAACACAAGGCTTTCTATAAGCCTAAGTCCAGTGTGACTATTTATTGTATTTCACCGCTTCTCAGGATGATGTGGGGTTTTCACATGAAGAGAACTGTGACCAGGCCACCACACAAGGCATCACAATACTATACATTCGGCGCTCTTAAAATTGTTTTAAAAATAAGAGTAATGGTGATATTAAGAGACAGTTTGGGTTAAATTGTCAAGTAAAGAAATTTGAATTCTTTGCCCCCTCCGAATCCTAATAGTATCCTTCTCTCATTTTTTGCTTCCCCTTCCTGCATTTTTGGGTCACTTTGTATCCAATTTCGACTTCCCCTCCAAAATCCACCTTCAGGAAAGGAATGGCTGTCAGACTTTTACCCCACAGCACTAGTTTAAATCAAATATCAGCAACATTTTTTCTGTAACTATTTGCATTTCAATGTGTTTTATCACTGTAGAATGAAGGGCTATTCAATAGAAATAGTTAAGAGAATTTAAAACACATTGGCGAGTAAAGGAAGGAGATTATTTGGGGGAGTTGGGGAATACAGGCCCTTAAAGTGGGTCTAGTCATTCCTAAAAGTTCTACTGTGATGAAAAAATTCTCTGGTACTCTGGCCTCTGTAATGCTGTCCCACCAGAGAGAGCAGAATTCTTCCCCTAGTTCCATTCCACTCCACTCTATTCCATTCCTCTTCCTTCAACATATTTTTAGAGCCACAGAGCTCTTCTCTAATTTCCTTTTTTGCATTTCTTATATATTATATATATACATATATATTTATATATTTTCACATTTTTTAATTGTTCAAGTACAGTTTTCTGCCTTTTCACCCCACCCCAGCCCACCCCCCAGCCCTTCCCGCCTCCACCCCCTCCTGTTATAGTCCATATGTCCTCTACAATTGCTCCTGCAAACCCTTCACCCTTTTCCCCTGAAATTACCTCCCCTCTACCCTTTGGTCACTTGTTTTTAGTGACAACCATTAGGCGGCAGGAGAGCAAGAAGGAGGAGAGATGCAGTGGTTTTACCCAGACAGTAGTACTTCTATCAGTGCAGCCAAAGGCTTCCATATCCCTCCCTGAGTTTCAGTTCTGACTTTAAAAAATATTTCTCTATATCCATTCATATTCCTCTCCTTCCCCCACAAACGACAATCTTAATGTGTTCAATACATATCTTTCTGTTAGCATGTCAAAATGCCTTTGTCTATGTGCATTTTTAAATTTATGTAGATTCATATTTTGTGTAATTTAAGTTATACTTCATATTATATATAATTTTGTTTCTTTTCCATGAAGCCAAGGTTTTAAAGACCCATCTGTGTTGTTGCTGTACGTACATCTAATTCAGTGCCTCGCTCTACTGCGTGTGCTCTGTGGCGTGGACCCAGCACATTCTACCTGAGCAGCCTCCTCCCGATGGATGCCCAGGTGCCCTCCAACTTCTCCCAGCACAAACAGGGACTGTAATGAACATCCTTGACATGCCCAGGTCTCACTGTGTACTGCAATGTGCTTCAGATGACCTTACCATAGATGGCCTGAATGCCATTGATGTCATCTTGAGGGAGTGAGTAGGTGCTGGGTTCGCTGTAAGCGTAGTTGGGATACATCAGGGCACCAGGGTCGGAGGAGTGAGAGAGCCCCAAGGAATGGCCAAGTTCATGGGCAGCAACAAGAAACAAGTTGTAATCTGAAATGCAAGCATGTGAGGTGAATGTCTTTAAGGGTATCCAAGGGCGGTAGAGATGGGATCTCGAGGTGTGCAGCCAAACTGCCTGGAGAAATAGCCTCTCCCACGCCTGTCATTTTCTTTTTCCCTTCAGGGACACAAAGAAATGAAGATTAGACAGACTCAAGATAGGAGTTAGAGGCTTAGATAAGGTGACTATAAACTTGGCATCAAATTTTAGAATTAACAAAAAACTGCCTTTATTTTGATTCCCCTATTTAATGAACAAGAACCTGAGGCTTAGAGGGATGATGGCAGAGCCATCATAGGTCTTGTGACCCTCAGAAACCCTCTCGCCCCCTCTCCAGTCCCTTAGGTCCTCCACCCTATTGGTAGGGTCTCAGTGAGCAGGTAGATAAGAAGCCTGCCAAGCAGCAGAGTAGTCTCACATCCAGAGCTGACTCACTGACCGCCCGAAGCCTAGTCAGCTCTTCCCTGATTCTGAGCTCTCCATGCAGCTTCAGGAATTCTCCACCAGAAAGAGACAAACCCTGCCTCTAATTGCTTCCTTCCCTCATCTTTTAACTTCACAATCCTAATGCCTTTTACAATTGGAAATTTAAAAACTTCCAAAGCTCACACTGTCAAAAAAAAATCAAATAAAACCCAAACTCCTTTGCGAAGTCCAAGATCTCTCCACTTGACTCCAGCAGACATTTGAAGGCTTGACTTCTGAGGTGAACCCTTCACTCCAGCCAGTCTATGAACCATCTCACAAATACACAGTACATTTTCTTACATGCCTACATTTGAACTCACAGTTGTAGAGTACTTTCTATATGCTAGGAAGTATAGTATTATTTGGTCCTCACAACTTGTTTATGAAGTACTGCTAAAACTATTCTTACAGTAAGGAACTGAAGCCCACAGAGCTTGAAAGTCTTGTTGTTAGTCTTGCAACTAATTAGTGGTAGAGTTGGGGTCAAACCCAGGTGTGATGACAAGATGACAAGACTTGTGCCCTTGCCACAGTGTTCAACTTCCTATTGGTAAGTAGCCTTATAAAATTCTACCCATGTTCCAAGACTTGCTTTCTTAATTATTATATTCTTTCTTTCTTTTTTGCATTCACGAATGCATTACAAAAAAACACCTTTGAGTGACTGGGACTCTGGGGGACTTATCAGGATGTACTTATCAGTACTGATTTATCAATACTATCTGCAAGGGGAAATGTATGCAAAAATGATGAATGCATAGAATAACTAGAATGGTTAGGGAAGGAGAAAGAAAGGCTATAAATATTATCAGGAGAAACCCTCATTCTGGCTAAAAGACAGGAAGAGGCTGGGTTGGGGGATGCATTTATAGAATGGGAAGAGAGAGATTTTGAAAGGTAGGGTTTAGGGTGTGAGGAATGGCATTTTAGGAAGAAGAAGCAACACGAGCAAACAGAGGGATGTTGAAAATCACGTGGTGTGATCTAGGAATGGTTGAATGCAGAATGTGGCTACTATATGTGAACTTTGAAGAGAAGCCACGAGAGATGAGGCTGGAAAATTGCCAAGAGCCTTCAATGTCAAGTGAAAGTGTTTGGACATTATTTGGTCAATATAATGTAAACACTGGAAGTTCTAAGCTGGAGACGAAGGGAATTCCCAGATGGGCTTTTCAAAGACAAACCTTGCTGCAGTGTTGAAAAAATCACCAGAAGCAGAGATTGGAGGTGAGTAGTTCAGGTTGGGAGTCTGGATCATTTAATTCAGGTGAGAGGTGATAGCCATCGGAACTAGCAGGTTGGGCAATAGGAATACATAGCAGTTGAGAGTGTGACGTACCTTTGGGTACACATGGCTCCTAGGATACAGACTCAGGTAGAAGAACACTCACAGCATATATGGTGAGAAAATGATGGGAGAAACGAGGCCCAAGCAAAGATAAAAGATTCTAAAAAGTGTTCTGTGACATAGTATTGTCCCATGGCCTTGTGAAGTACCATGTGGACTGGATGTACCTGTCCTCATCTCCTCAATTCTTTCCCTCAGGTGGTTCAAATCTTCTTAGTCTCAGTCTTCTTCTGAAAAGGGAGGCTTGCTATGTGGGAATGTACCATTGAAAAAGAGCTCCAGGAAGACAAAAATAGCTCGGTGAAGAAGACAGCTGCTCTTTTCTAGGAGAGAATTTTCTAAATGAACCCAATTATTTCTGAATTTCCAAAAATAGGATCTTTTAAAAACATCATTAAATTTCAGAATGAGAAGAGAAAGCTATACCCTAAAGCAGTGTTCGGCAAACATTTTCTGTAAAGGTCTGGGTGGTGAATATTTGAGGCTCTGGGAGCCATTCATCTTTGTTGCAAATCCTCAGCCTGCCATTGTAGTGTGAATGCACAGATGACAGATAAACAAGTAAGTGTGGCTGAGTTCTGTTAAAACTTTATTTATGCAAACAGGGCCAGGCAGAATTTAGCTATGATGTGTAGCTTTCTGATTTTTGCCCTAGGAAACAAGATCAGTGATAAGCTTCAGGATTTTTTTTAAACCTAAATTTGTGGGGGCGACTTCACCTGCAAGTCTCCCCGTCCACCACAGATGAAAGTAACACTACCAAGAGGCAGATAAAATTGACATAATATCTTGAGGGAGCAAAAAAATTTCAATGGCCAGTTCCTGTGGATTTGAATTGTTACAATAACGTGTGTGTGTGTGTGTGTGTTGGTAGGGGTAAATTCTAATGTGGGCAACTGTTTACTCAGAAACCATATGACCGTTATAACCTTGGTTAACTTACTTTCATAGGTTTTGGTCCAGGTTTCTTCTGCATCAAAATGAACATCTCCTCCAATACCTTGGCCTGGCTGAAAGGCATGAGCAAGGATTCCATCAGGTCCATCAAATGGAGAATTGTCACCATGCACTGAAGTAAAACAATTTGTATTAGGTCTTTTCCAAGTCTCATGTCAGCAGGAGAAAGCAAAATTGAGCATGAGTGCTTCGAGCTCACCTCTTTGGACGAAAGCAATATCGATGTCTGCTTTTCCCCGTGAGATAGCAAAGGTCAGGGGCGATGCATCACTCCAGATTTTAAGGGCTTTCTTAATAGCTGCTTCCACATCAGCCTGGGACAGGTGTGGGGTATAGTTAATAATCCTTCAAAATGAGAAGACGTGTGAGGGCTCATTATTGTTTCGAACAGCACTCTAACAGTAAGTAGATCAGGCTTCTCCATTTTGGAGTGAGTCGTATACAGGAAGAGCTCCCACTGGACTGGGTATAAGTGGGGAGTGTAGGACTCAGGGCTGAGGACAGATGTGGGTTCTGAACAATTTATTACACGTCTCTAAATTTAGTTTTCTTATTTATAAAATGAGGATAATAAAATAGTACCCCTCTCATAAGGTTGTTGTAGGGGATTAAATACATGTAAAACATTTTACTACTTGACATATTATTGTATAATAGCATTTAACAAATATTGGGTGTTATTATTTATTGTCATTATCATAAGATGCATGGAAGATAGGACTAGTTTCTTTCCAGCAACAACTAAGTCTTTTTGGGGTCCTACAGTGAATCCTTAGAGAGACAGTTTAATACCGGCATAGTCCTCTCTCAATGATCAGAGAATGAAGTTCGAAATGGCAGTTTTTGGACTCAAGGGAGTCCTACCTCTTCACTCTCATACTCTTCCATTAGTATCTAAACTCTACAAGGGCAGGAGGGTTTATTTACTTGACTCTGGTGTATCCCAATGTCTAGAACAGTGCCTGTCACTTTACCAGTGCTCAGTCAGCACTGGCTGAATGAATACGTTCTGAAACCCTGGAGTATCACCTGTAGGTCAGGTTATTGTGTGTCCACTTGGGGTTTCCCGGAGTTAACATGAAATCGCCGCCATCCGGCACTCCACATCGAGGCTTTTGCATCATCTCCAGGGTTTCCTCATTTGGCTTCCCGGTCACATTCAGTCCGAAGAATTGCTGCATTTCTTTCAGCTTTTCAACAATCACACTGTTGCTGTGCATCCTTGCAGACTGAGATCTGATCTTTGGTAATTGGTAGAACTTTTCTAGGTAATTCTAGACAAAGACAAACCTGTGAGGGAACTCGCTCTGAAATTACCTTCAATTCTCTGTGTATTGCACATCCCTTTTAAGTTATTGCAGACTTGGAACAGTCTAATAACCTGACAGTGACAGGAACAAAGAACACGAATTTTTGGGTGGGCTTTGAGACAACAGTGCCTGCTAGAAAGAATAGCCCCTCAGTCAGGGCTCCAATTAATGTCTATACAAAAAAATAAAAAAGAAAAAGAAAAGGTGCCCGGGATGGTGTGGCTCAGGGGGTCAGAGCATCGTCCTGGAAACTGAAAGGTTGCACGTTCTATTCCCAATCAGGGCACGTGCCCAGGTTGTGGGTTTGATCCCCGGTTGCGGTGCATATGGGAGTAAACCAATGGATGTTTCCCTCCCATCGATGTTTCTCTCTCTCCCCCTCCTTCCTCTCTCTCTAAAAGCAGTGAAAACAATGTGCTTGGATGAAGATTAAAAAAATAGGCATTTTGTAAAGGATGAGGTCCAAGTCCTCGGGCAAAATGCTGCACTACAGTCAGGAAGCTGCCTTATTTTTATTTAAAAAAATAGCACTGGCATTTATTGACTTCTCGAGGTATTAGTTGCATCAATGAGGTTTCTCTCTTTTAATCCTCTTTCCATGACCGCAGCGAGGGTCTGCACCTCCTTGGGAAGCGATGGGGGTGCAGAGGAGGAAGGAACTTGCCAAGATGACAACTCAGGCCCCCACGTCATCATGTTGCTTCTCAAGTGAGAATTGACAATTTGAAAAAATCCAAATAAGTTCTGGGGCAACAGCAGCCTCACTGACATGAGCATGTTATCCGCCACAGTAACTTTTTTAAAGGGGCTGGCACTCATTCGGAAGTAAAGGTTCTGAGGGGTGTTGAGCCAGGCCTAAGATTTATTTCTTTCCCCTCAAGCAGCCTGTGACTACCTGGCTCTTTGCAAGTGACAGGGGACAGGGTGTTCTGTGCTCTCACGGGCTATGAAGTCAGATTGGCTTGGGTTTGAAGCTTCACATCTGCCACAAATTAACTGTGAGTTCTGGGACATGTCACTTAACTGACACAAGAGTCACTTTGGTCTCTAAAGTAGGAATAATAATATCCCTTTTACAGGGTTGTCGTGAGGATGAAATGAGATAATATTTGTGAAATATGTACCAGAATGCCTTGTCCAGAGTAAGTACTGAATAAACTAGCTATTACCCCAGGGGTTACTTTTACCATTGTAAGAGATATTTTTTTAAATATGAGAGAAAAAAGAAAACAAGAACAATACTTTTCTAAAACTGTAATGCTGAGGACACTGCGCATCACAAATGCGTGACAGCCTTCCTTGTGTGTCTTAGAAATTTGGCCTGACATTCGTATTGTGAAAGAACAGAAGAAAGCATTGGTTCTGCTTTTACAGTGCTTCCAAGAGTTTATAAATAGCCCTATAACCTGGTGTAAAGAAATCTGATTAAACTATAAACTGACTTTATTTCCTTGTAGTTTCCCATCCTTATGCTCTCTGGTATACCTGGGATTTTTGCTGCAAGACAAGTCACATGGAAATCACCAGACAACTGGGTTGCAGATGGACCAGAAGGGAAATTCTTAGGTATGTAAGAAAAGAAAAACATTCAATTCTGTAATTAAAACCATGCTTCCCCAGCTGGCGGCAGCTCAGCAGTAGTGTTTTCCAGGATTTGAAGGGCCCGGCTTGCTTTCATGCCTGGCTTTTAAAGGATCCAGATCAGAACCCTCCAAATCACTCAAATGAGATATTTAAGCTCAAAACAAGTCATCCACATAATTTCTTTCAGACTGTTTTAACTAAAAAGCAAAATCAACCCATACTATCTCCTAATTACCAGCAAATAAACCACCCCATCTGATTGTTAATTTACCTGAACAATTTTTATAGTTTTCTCTTCATTGTGTTGAGAAGGCAGTGGAAGGGCCTTGGAAAGCTGCACGGGGAGTAGGAGCAGCAGTAGCAGCATCCGCAGACCGGACATGGCCTTTCTCCAGGCTCCACCCCTCTGGTTAGCGTCTTTCCCCTGCTGGGCGCCCAGACGTTCACAGCATCATGCGTCCTTCGCTGCTCTTTTGGTCCCTTATAAAGCTGTGTCTCAAACAATTGCCACAGCAGGAATGTGAAGAAATGCAGGTTAATTACACTCGGACAATTTTGCAATGTTAGGATGTGATTTAGTATCCACCCCCCACATAGAGGAGTCTTTCAACAGAAGAACAGTGCAATTTGCTACTCTTTGCTTTTGGGGTTTTTAGTTATATATTTACTTTTGCAGAATTGTCTGATCAAGGGAAAGGAGTAGGAGACTAATCCTGAGGTTATGAACAGCAGTTGTCTATGGTCTACATTTTCTGGGAATATACGATGCTGAAGCTGTATTAACTTACACAGGGGAGACTGTTAGGTTAGCGGTAGGTATCTCGGGACTACAGAGCCCAGTGCAAACTGGAGCATCTCTGCTCTTACCCGCCCTCGCTGTGTGTGAAGAGAGTGTGCTTGGGAGTGTTGTCACAAGGCAGGATTTGTGTGGGCGTCTTGGAGCAGCTTCTAGAGGATATGGTTATGGCATCAATGCATTAGAAAACCCCCGATCTGCAAGCTGGATATTTCACAAGAAAAACAAAGAAAGCAATACTGATGATGATAGCAATGAACATTTGCTGGATATTTATTATGTCCCGGACATACATGCTGTACCTACATCACCTCAGGTCATTCTCACACGGCCTTCAGAGGTAGATGCTAATATCTGTATTTTGCAGAGGAAATAACTTCCAGAGAGATGAGATGACTTGTACAAGTCACATGCTAAAATTGTGCAGCAGCCAGGACTCAGTCCCAGGTGGGATGTTTACAAAGACTCAGCTGGCAGTGGCCAGATGGCCCGTAACGGAACAGTGGTTCGAGGCCAGCAGCAACTGGGGTACCTTGGTTTATATCTGGAAGAAGGAGACAAGAGAGAGGGAAGATGAGATGCCATATATTCCCCAGGGAAAATGACACTGAGTAAGGATTTGCAGACAGTGTGGCTACACAGGGGGCTGTACTGGTGAGGGGCCCTTGGGCATGATTTTCAAGTTAAGTCACCTCGTCCCACTTACTCTAATTCTACGTGCATGTAGATTATGTTACCTTACCATACAGTTTTTGTATGTATTCATTTAGCTATATTAATATATATTCCAAAGGGCATTCTTTATGTATTTCTATGTGTAAATACATATCAACATGTATGATATATAATACGTTAATATGTAAATAATATCTTTGAGATCTTATGATAAATAGTTCAGTTCCCTCCCTATGTTTCTTATAATCTCTGTAAACAATGTAAAGAAATGTGCCTTGGGCTAGAACATATCTGGATAGCAGATTAATGTTTGTGATGTGAGTTTCTGCATCACTCAATAAACAATTCTTGCCACCTACCACATGGTGCTGCAATGGGTAACAGGTTGTTAGAGATAAGTTAATGGCATTCAGATGAAATACTGCAGGAGTCTGGAGGGAAGAACCATGTTGGAGGGGGGAGGAAGTAGAATCAGGGGAGGCTCCACTACCGAGGCAGAACTTGAACTCGACCTTGAAGAAGTAGACGATAGACATGTAGAGATGTGGCGATCCATTCCCTGTGCACATGCGGAAGCTCCTCACTCACCAAGTTGTTCAGCGTGTTGTAAGTTCATGATCTTGTTATCCCCCCCCTGGGTGCACAACTTAGTCATGATGTGGCTTCCCCAACATTAGGTCTTCAGTGAAGAAAACCTTTTCTTTATAAATAAGAATGCCTTTACATTGGTCTACCTTATGTTGAGTTATTTTGATTCACTGACTTGCTTACAAGATTTATAAACATTTTTTGTTCTGAACATAATGGTAAGTTATTTAGATAAGAGCCCAGCACTTTGGTGAATTCAGTTCTCTGGCATATGTGTGCATGTTGTTAAAATCAGAATTGCTGGGTCCGGGTCTCCGATAACAGGTCCAGCCCCAGCGGAGAAGGCCACAGCTGTTTCCAGGGCCTCCAGCTCCTGCTTTCCGAATCCTTTCTTCACGCCTGACCCCACTTGCCTGCATTGTGTCTGTACCTCACCCCTTCTCAGTCCGGAGTTCAGAGTTCCTTCAGGCCCCGTCCAGGAAATCCTGCATCTGGAAAAGGCTCGGTTCTCAGCCATTCACACCTCAGTGTACACATAGGGGTTATTTCCTTTTAAGTCAATTCCTTACTAGAAAAAAAAGAGCTAAGCAAACAGATTTTTAAAAGAAAAACGAAGGCATTATTTCCTATAAGATAGGTGTCAGAGCAAGTAAGAAAATGAATAAAATTCAGTTTTGGACAGAAACAATACAATGCAAAAACAATGAAGGATCATCCTATCTCCCTAATGCCACCCGTGATGTGCTGGTCCATTGCAGAAAGTTGTGTTTTTAGGGACCAGTTTGGGTTTTTAGGTCTAAATAGATAAACTAAGTACATAGACATAGTCTGTTTTCTTTTTAATAGAGAAATACTGATTTTAATTCAACATAAAGTAAACTCTAGGTATCTTTCAGCCTAAAAATGAGCAAAACAGGTGGGCTGAGGTAGATGGGAAAATTGCCTGGAAGTGTTCATGTGTGCCTGAATCTTGGAGGATGAGCAGGAGTTTGCCAACTGGGAATGGGATCCATAGAAGAAATAGCATGCACTAAGCTCAGAGGTATACCTAGTGAAGCTTATGGCCTATTTGATTCATGTAAGCCAAGGCTAACTGTTCTTTACGTTAAGCATTTTTGAGCTTTGATAAGATGGATATCTATATACTTTGATCAAATTAATAGGATAATTGTTGGGGTCAGTTATGGTACAGTCTAAAGAACATTGGACTTGAAATTTTATGACTGGGTTCAAACTGTAGTTCTGTCACTTCCTACTTATGCAACTTTTTACAGATTATTTCAATTCTTCTGAGCCTCCATTTTCATGTCTATTAAATTGGTACATTATCATCTCACTTGTACAGCCTCAAGAGGGTTAGATGAGGTAGTGCATGTAAAAAGCTCTGTGCAGACCTGCCAGTGTGGTATCCTCTGTATATTATGAATGTGATGAAGTTACGGCCATGCCAGTTCATGTGTCCATTCTGTGAACTGAGTTAGCAATGCTGAAAAGGTCTTCTCTTTCAGAAAGAGAAGTGCTTCAAAGTTAAGCCACAGAGTGATGAAGTAATTCTATAGTTTCCTTCAGCAGCCAGTGCTCAGTGCAGCCAGGGAACATATGAATGCAACTTATACATCCTTTGCCCAGAGTATAAGTGGTTAAGTTAAAATCACACTAGCCAGTATGAACCAAACACTGTGCTAAGCTGGCAGTCTTTACTACCAACGAGGAAACCACGTGGACTAAGTGCCTGCACTCTGTAGGACTCGGTCTTAGATGTTCACTATCTGTTATCTCCCTTAAGCTTCACAACAACCCAAGAAAGTAGGAGTTATTATCTCCATTTAAAGATAAGGACATTGAGCTCTGGCTGGTGTGGCTCAGTGAATTGAGCGCCAGCCTGCAAACGAAAGGGTCTCCAGTTTGCTTCCCAGTCGGGGCATATGCTTGGGTTGCAGGCAGGGTTTCCGGTAGGGGGCACGTGAGAGGCAACCATGCACTGATGTTTCCCTCCCTCTTTCTCTCTCTTTTCCTCTCTGTCTAAAAATAAATAAATAAAATCTTAAAAGATAGGGACATTGAGGTTCAGAGATGTGATTCAAACTTACCTTTCCATTTATTCTTCCCAGTAATTCCCGTTGTTCTCTTGGTAGGGAATTCAAAGTAAGGCAATGGTTCTCCGTCTCAGGTCTACATCCGAATCTGTAATAAAAATACAGATGTGGGCTCTACTCCTGCCACTGAGTCAGAATCTCCGGGGGTGGGACCCAGGCAGATACAGTTTTAGAGAGCACCCCAGGCGCCTCTGAGAGTGGGTTGAGAACCTCTGTTGTACAAGAGGATAGAGAACATACATCAAGAGAGGAGAACATCTACACATTTAAGATTTAAAAGAAGGAACAACCATATCCTATTGGGGAGGTCAACAGAGCCTTCACAGAGGGAGTGGCCCTTGAGGTGAATTTTGAATGATGGCTGGATTTTGGCATTGAGACTGGTGTGAATGAGAGTGCGATTTGAAAAAACAAAGGGCAAAGGCAGAGAGATGAGACACCCAGGGTTATAGAGGGGCAGGCAAAAGTAGGTTCACAGTTGTGAGCACACAAAAGAGTTTATTCCTGTACTATTATTTATTACTTATTTGTATCATAACTGTAAATCTACTTTTGCTCACCCCTGTATGTATGAGGGGATTAAGAAAGTTCTGGGTGATTAAGCATAGAATTTATAAAGAGAAGCAGTGTGGGATGGTAGACTGGAGCCAAGTGGTGGTGGGGAGCAGGGAATGAATATCGAAACATCGATAACATGTAGTCACTGCTGCTTTCTGAGCTGAGTTATAAAGCTGACCGGCCTACAGTGTCTAGGACAGATTGAGGTGAGCAAAGCTGCATGTAAGGAGAACAACTGAAGGGTGGAATAAGCACTTCAATGAGAGTTTCTGAGGACCTGACCCTGGAGGTGTCCACTTCAGGAACACATCTGGAGACACCTCTGTCTTTGTGCAGGGATGGAGATTGGGAAGGGCAGGAGGGAACCCGGGCCATCACACTGCACATCTCCAGGACAGCCATTCACAAACGCATGCTGGGGAACCCACCACATTGGAGAATATCAATTGTCTGAATAAAGTAGAAGCTGTTGTTTCTGAGATGGCAGGTGGGAGCCAGGTCAGGGCTGGGGCTTGGAGGAATTGGGGGTCACTTACAAAAGCTTCGGTAGTAAACTCAACAGGCAGATGAGACCAGTAAAGACTGGCCGAGCAGCCGTGTTGGCTCAGGCAAGTGAGAGGGTGGCTACAGTTCACGGCGAGGATCCAATCCCTACCTTAATTATTAGCTTCAAACATTTCCATTGCTTCCCTCTCCCAAATGGAGAATGATGTGGCTAAGATACAATGGTGAGAATGACCCATTGGTA